GAAAATAAAGTTATAGCTCTTTTAAACAAAAACAGTCTCTGCTTTTTCTTCCCCTTTTTTTCCTTCTTTGAAAAAGTAGAGTTATTCCTGAATAAGTGGAACAGTGTCATACGAGTATGAGTCCAGCATTTTGCAGTTTAAAAAGTGCTTTCATATCCACCATTCCACTTGACCCCCCACTCTGGGAAATAGGTATGACAGGATTCACCTGCATTTTACAGATGGGCAAACTGGGATGCAGAGAGAGGAGGCTCAAAGGCCAGACTGGAACGTGTGTCCTCTCCTCCTAGGTCAGAGCCAGGCTGTTCCTACGCAAGAGCATCATCTTAAAAGGGTGGCGTACTTGCTTTTGTCTATCTTTGACATATACCCAGCTGAGACCCCACTTGGTTTTTTTCCTCTTTAATATCACACGCAATCTTTACGTTATTTTACATTTAAAAATATCTTTCTATTTTTTAAAAATTATTTCCGTACCCAAGAACCAGACAGTAATTTGCGTTGCTCACTTATTTTTAAACCATTATACACGACTGTTTTGGTTCATCTTTAAAAGCTTATTTCCAGAGAACATAACAAAATTAATTAAATTGCTTTTTGAAGCAAGGCTGCTTTGTTTCTCACTGAAACGATGACTCATGAGGTCTGACTAAGTCTCAATTATATTCCTCCCCAGCAGATAATTTAAATGTGATTCATACAGAAAGGGAAAGAAAGAAAGAAAAAGAAAAAGAAAACAAATGAAAAAAAGTACCTCTTACTTACCTCTTTGACAAGTTATCCTGGATGGGGGGTTACATGGGAGAAACCTGTAATGTTTCTTTCAGTATCAGAAATCCTTGTTGACAGCAGCATTGATAACTGGCATCTCTGTGTCCCAGGATGTGCGAATGGTGCAGAAAGGTAGATTTTGGCCCAACCCAAGGAAACACTTTCTGATCTGCCAAGAGATTCAGTGGTGGTCCTGGCTGGCTTGGGTGACATTGTCCCTGATTCAGGGGTGTGATCATCTGACAGAAAAGCTGCTTGGTGGTGATGGTGGCGGTGGTGGTGGTGGGGGCCCTAAAGGACTTTTTATTTAACAATGCATGGATCCTGGAATATCGAAGAAATAGAAAGGAGCCCGGCCTGCCTGAATGGTGGGAGACTAGGGGAAGGTAAAGCTGGGTAGTATGGTGCGATGGGATGATGGAGCACCCTGAGCAGAAACAATATCTTGAATTAAATTGTCACTTTGAGAAATCACTTTTTATTTTATAATTAGAAGCTTTCTGGCAGTTGGGAACATAGTACCTAGTACACAACAGGTACATAATGAATGTTTGCTGAATGCATGCCTGCAGGGATTAGGGAAAGGAAGAATGACTGAATGAATGGACTCGTGCATGACAGAGTAGGCTGGAAGGAAGAGCAGTGGGAGGGACTGGGGATGCCTTCCCATGGACTTTGGAAGATTGGCTTTGAACTAAGGGGAACTTCGAGGCTGTGTTCACATAGATGTGGAAATTCTGGCTTCGTTACAAACCTGTGTTCTTTGAGTTATGTATGGGGTCAAGTGAGCATTTCATTGGGTGCTTCTGGTGGCAGTGGATGTCAGGAGACTGTCCAAGTAGCCTTTTTGTTTTGTTTTGTTTTTCCACAAAACCGTCAGAGCAGATCTGCTGAAATATATTGCCATTCCCCTCCTAACTGCCCCAGTACCCCCCAGGACCCATTTCCCTCACACACTCACATTGGGTTTTAATGCCAACAACTCCAGTGCAGCCAGTTCAGTGTCTTGCTTTTTGCTGTGGCATGTTTTGCTCCTTCAGCTATGCAAAGGGCTAGCAATTTCACTGATGGAAAGGGAAAGAAGACCCATGGAGAGAAGGGTCAGGTGATTTATGGGGTTGAGCACAGCGTCCTCAGGTTATTTTATGACACAGTACTTGTTTTACCTTCTCACACAATAGGCCTCAACAAATTCCTACTTAGAGATGTATTTCTCCTTGGTTTTCAGAAATTCAAGGGTGGATAGTGCCCAGGGGTTGCAGCTAGATCAAGGTGATTTGGATCCACTTTTATTTTTCTATTTTCAAGGGGCATGTCTGATGGAAAAGCAATAACTTTAGGGGAAGTATATAGTATCACAGGTTTTGAGGGGCGCTTTGGCTAATTCTCATAATCACTCTGTGCCTTAATGTCCTCGTGGGTGAGTGCAGTAACACCGGCCTGTCGCACATGGATTTGTGCAAAGGTCAACCAGATGACACCAGGTGAGTTGCTTTACACGCTGCATGGGTGAACTCAAGGTGCCCTTATTTATATTATTACTCCTATTTGCTGATTAATGGTGCTTATTTTGAAATTGATTTTGGAAAAATACCCACACAAAATGAAAATCCACTCCCATTGCTAGCAAGGTGCTCTTTGTGAAGTCACAGGTTTCACTCAAAGGCTATATTCCACAGAAAATAACTGCAATTTAAAAATATGACCTTCTAATAGAACCACCTTCGATTCTGTGCCCATTTCACTAATCTTCCCATGACCACCCCATTACCTCTTGAGTGGTTTGCTAACAATATTTATTAACTGCAGGCCTGGGAACAGACAGACACTTCCAAATTGGATGGTAGAGCGAGACCCTTCTCTTATCATTTGTCGCCAAGAAAGTGTTCTGAGCTTTCCTCCCATCTCTTGTCTTCTGGCTGAGCTCCTGTGCTGTCCTTCCGCATATTTTCTTCTGTATAGCTGCTGAGTTCCAGCAGGCCTGACATTGGTCTTCACCCGGTGAATTTGAGGAGTGAAACTCACTGCCACTCCAGGCCACATCAGGAAACATAACTGCCACCGGATATTAGGGATTAGCTACAAAAGTCCCAGGAAGATCGTCTCATCCTTCCAAGTCCAACATTCTTTCCTACCACGTAGCTACAAACAGTAAATAAAAGAATGATTCATAATATAATGACTACCCCCTCATTATTCCTTAATCTTTTATTCATCTCCTTTATGAACTAGGTGCATTTGCTAAAATGAAGATACTGCTTTTTCTGCCTTTATAATAAACAACAGTAATTATCTCGTGGAATGCATCCTCTTCTCCACAGGGAATGACTGTTTGCTTCTGAACTGAACAAAATGAGAAATTATGACATCACTTTTAAAATCAATATGAAGTGCTTGTCACGAAAATATGGATCTTTCCAGTGGGGATAAAAGTGACTCACATCAAGTGAATCAGAAATACAAAAGCGTCAGGCTGTCATTTACCTGAGCAGTTTGTTTTGGTTCTGTACAGGGGAGCCTTGGAAACAATTAGCAATTGTGAAAACAAACAAGACCAAAAAACCAAAGTTAAAAAAAAACACAAACAAAAAACAGTTGCCCCCCCCCCCAAATTCTTAGTAGATGGCCATATTTTCACTGACTTATCTGAGTATGGAACCAACAAAGCTGAAGAAGAGATCATAGAATTTTAGAGCTGGATGATTCTAGAAGTTTCTACACTTTTTTGCCCATTTCAAACAGAAGGAAAACCCAAACTTCCTAACAAAACTTAATGTGGAGGGTTGTTATGGCAAAGGTCTGTGAACACAGCTATTCTGACTGAAGTGCATACACACACACACGCACACATGAACACACACGCACACACACACGCACACACACACTCACACACGCGCACGCACGCGCACGCACACACGCACACGCACACACAGGCACACACACGCACAGACGCACACACACGCACACACACGAACAAAAACGCACACATGCACACACGCACACACACAGGCACAAACGCACACACACACGCACACACTCACACACACACGCATGCACGCACGCACACTCTCACACAAACACACACGGGAACACACGCACACACACGCATGTACACACACGCGCACACACGCACACGCACACGCGTGCACACACACGCACGCGCGCACACATGCACACGCACACACACGCACACAGGCACACATACACATGCACGCACGCACGCACACGCACACACACGCACAAACACGCACACATGCACACACGCATACACGCACAGACGCGCACACACGCCCACGTGCACAAACACGCCCCACGCACACACACACACTTGTACACGAACGCACACACACTCGTGCACACACACATACACGCAGAGAAATGCACACACACGTGCACACACACGCACACTCACACACGTACACACTGATACACATGCAGAAATGCACGTGCATGCACGCACGCACACACACACACAAACAAACATGGGAAACACATGCACACACACGCACACACTCACACACGCACGTACACACGCACACACAAACATGGACGCACACACGCGTGCACACACTCACACACACACAAACACACACGTACACACGCACACACGCAAACAGGCACACGCATGCACACACACTCACGCACATATGCGCACACATGCACACGCACGCGCACACGCAGACACGCACACAGCCGCGCACAAGCACACACCCACACACGCACCCACACGCCCACACACAATCTTGCACACACACACGCACACAAGGACACAGACGCAAACACATACACACACGCACACACATTTGCACACACGCGCGCACACGTGCACACACGCGCGCACACACGGACACAAATGCACGCACTAGCACACACACGCTCATACACACGCACACACACACGAGCACATGCACACGCGCACATACACATGGAGAAACACACGCACACATGCGCACACACATGCGCACAAACACAAACCCACGGGCACGCGCACACACGAACACACATGCGCGCACAAACATGCACAAACACACAAACGCACACGCACACACACGCATGCACGTGCACACACGCACAACACACACACGTACACACACGCACACACAAAAACACACGCGCAAACTCACGCCCACACACGCACACGGACACATGCGCACACACACACACAGACACACGCACGCACGCACGCGCACGTACACGCCCACACATACACGCACACACACATGCACGCGCACACACACGCACACGCTCGGACACACACGCACACAAGCTCTCACACAAGCACACACACACGCGGGCACAAACACGCACGTGCGCACAAGCGCGCACACACACGCACACACACGCACACACGCACACACACATTCACGCAAACACACACGGACACACGCACGCAAACACCAAAACACACGCACGCACACATGCACACACACAAACGCACACGCACACACAGGCACACACGTACACGCGAACACACACATGCAAAAACACACGCGCATGCAAACACGTGCACGCACACACACACACGTTCACCAACACACACGCGCGCACGCAAACACACACACATGCACATATGCACACACACACCCATGCACACGCACAAACACGCACACACACACGCGCAACACACACACGCACGCTCACGCACACACACAAAACCACAAACAGACGCAAATGCGTGTACACAGGCAGGCACAAAGACACACACGCACACACGCGCATACACATGCACACACGCGCATACACACGCACAGGCACGCACACACACACACATGCACACAAACACGCAAACACGCAGACACGCACACGCACACGCACATGCACACACGGACACAGGAGCACACGCACGCACACGAATGCACACACTTGCACACACATGCATGCACACCCATACGCACACAGACACACCCTCACACACGCACGCACACACACACGGACACAAACGCCACACACCCGCACATACACACACAGGCGTACACACACGCTCGGACACAGACGCACACACACGCACACAAACACGCACACACGGACACACACACGCACACACATGCAAACGCACACAAAGAAACACATGAACACACACATATGCATACACATGCACACACGGACAGACACGCGCACAGGCACACACACGCGCGCACAGGCACACACACACGCGCGCGCACACACACGCACTTGCACAAACACACACACACGCGCACGCCAGCACACGCAAACACACACGTACTCACGCACACACACACAGGCACAAATTCAAACACACATGCAGGTGCTCACGCACACACACGCACGCACGGACACACACGCACATTCGCTCACGCACACAAACACACACGGGAACAAACACACATGCACACACTCTCACACGCACGCACACATGCACACACAAACATGGACGCATACACGCGTGCGCACTCACACACACACATGCCCACACACGCACATCCCACATGCGCACACACTGACACATGCACACACACACACTCGCACGCATAGGCACGCATAAACACATGCACACACACGCACACACGCGCATACACACGCACACACGCGCACAGGCACACACACACGCGCGCACACACACACACACTCATGCATACAGACACACACGCACACACGCAGACACGCACAAGCATACGCACACACGGACACACAGGCACGAACACACCTGCGCACACTCACACCTCCACACACGTGCACACAGATGCGCGCACGCACTTGCACACACACCTGCACACAAGGACACACACGCAAACCAATACACAAACAACCACGCACACACACACTTGCACACACATGCACGCACACCCATACGCACACAGACACGCACACACGCACGCGCACACACACTCACAAACACACACACGCACACACACACGCACAAACACGCACACACAGACATTCACTCCCACACACAAACACACACGGGAACACACACACACGCACACACTCTCACACGCACGCACAGACGCGCACACAAACATGGACGCACACACAGGCGCACGCACACATGCGTGCGCGCACACACACGCGTACACAATTGCCCACACACGCATACGCCCACATGCGTGCACACTGACACATGCACACATGCACGCACACACTCGCATATAGGCTCGCAGAAACACATGCACACACATGCACACATGCGCACACACACATGTGCACAGACACGCACAGACACACACGTGCGCACACACACACGCACGCACACACACTTGCACACACATGCACGCACAACCATACGCACACAGATACGCACACACGGACACACACGCACACACATGCACAGGCACAAGCACACACGGAAACACACGTACAGACACGCACACACGGACAGACACGCAAGCACACACGCGCGCACACACATGCACACACACACAATTGCCCACACATGCAAGCAAACACAGACGCACACACGGACACACGCACACACACATGCACGCGAACAGACATGCTCACACGCACGCACGCACACACACTTGCACACACGTGCACACAGGTGCACACAGGCACACACGAACACACACACACACACGAACACACAAACGCACACACACACGCACACACGCGCATACACACGCAAAGGCACGCGCACACACTCCCGCACGGATGCACACACACAAACACAGACACGCACACACACACACACAAACACATGCACACACAAACAGACACGCACACACATGCACACGCATGCACAAGCACACACGCACACACACGCGCACAAAAATGCACACACGTGCACACAGAGACACGCGCACACCTGTGCACACGCACACATCCCACACGAGCACAAACACGTGCACACACACTTGCACACACACACAACGACACACACGCAACACAAACGTACACTCACACGCACACACACACTAGCACACACATGCACGCACACCTGCACGCACACAGACACTCACACACGCACGCGCACACACACTCACAAACACACACACGCACACACACACACGCACACATGCACACACAAAAACACACACATGCACTCACGCACACACGCCCACGTGCACACACACGCGCCAGGCACATGCACGCACACTCGTACACACATGCACGCACAGACGCACGCACACACGCACACATGCACACACACACACGCACGCAAACACACACACATACATACACACGCACGCGCGTGCACACACAAACGCACACACACGCACACACACTCACACACACGCACACACACGCACACACACGCACACAAACACTGACAAACGCACACACACGCACACACACGTGAAAGCATACACACAAGCACAAACACGCACAGACAGACGTGCACACACGCACAGACACGTAGTTACACACGCGTGCACACACACATCCAAACACACCTGCACACTCACACGCACACACACGCACATGCACACACATGCTCACACACACGAACGCACACACACTCGTACATACATGCACACACACTCGTACACACACGCACGCACACACGCACACATGCGCACACACACAGTTGGCCACACATGCACGCAAACACACACGGACACACGCACACACACGCACACACGCGCACGCACACGCATGCACACAGAGTTGGCCACACATGCATGCAAACACACACGCACATGCACACACACGCTCACACACACGAACACACACACTCGCACATACATGCACACACTTGCACACACGCCCACACACGCGTGCACACTCGCACACACATGCAAATGCACACACACACGTGTGCACACGCACACACAATCACACACTCACACTCACACTTGGACCCACGCGCACACACAGACACACACGCACGCAAACACACATGCACATATATACACATGCACGCGCGTGCACACACAAACGCACACACACATATGCACACAAACACACACACTGACAAACGCACACACAAACGCACACACGTGAAAGCACACACACACGCACAGACACACGTGCACACACACGCACAGACACGTAGGCACACACACGCGCACACACACATCCGAGCACACCCACACACACGCACGCGCACACACACGCGCACACACAGATGCGTACACACGCACACACGCACACACGCACACATGCATACGTGCACGCACACACCCACACACGGGCACACACATGCATACACACTCGCACACACAACGACAAACGCACACGCGCACGCACACACACACGCACACACACACAACCATGTGCACACGCACGCGCCATGCAACTCACACACATACACACTGACACACACGCAGAAACGCACGTGCATACATGCATACCCGCACACTAACACACACGCTCACAAAAACATACGGGAATACCCGCACACACACACACGCATGCACGCACACACACGCGCACACACATGCACACGCACAAAGTCACACGCACACAAAAACACACGGGAACAAACGCACACACGCACACACATGCACGCACTCACACGCACACACATGTAGGCCCAAACGCGCACACACGCACACACACGCACACACACGCATACACACGCAACACACGCATACACACGCACAGGCATACACACACACTCACACACAATACACACACACACACTCATGCAACACACAAACACACACGCATACACGCACACTCTTACACGCACACGCACGCGCACTCACACAAAGACACGCACACTCCCTACACGCACACACACACGTGCACACACGCACACACGCACAAACGGACAGGCACGGACGCACATATGTACACACGCATGTGCGCGCACACACACACGCATACACAATCGCACACACACCAAAAACCGCACACACACGTGCATGCACACACACATGCACACACGCCCACATATGCACACACACGAAAACGCCCCCCCACACGCACACACACATGCACACAATCACCCGTACACACACACACACACACGCACGGACACACACATGCACACCATCACCCGCACACACACACATGCACACACACGCACACACGCGCTCGAATGCAGAAACGGAAACAGACGCACACACGCACATGCACACATGCACACGTGCACACACCTGCGCACACACTCATGCACACACTTGCACACACGCGCACACAAGAACAAACACGCACACACACGCACAAACGCATACACACACGCACACACGCACACGCACACAAACACCCGCACACACATGCGCACACACGCACAAACAAACGCATACACATGCGCGCACACGCACACACACAGACACACGCACGCAAAACCACACGCACATACATGAACACGAATGTGCTTGCACACACACGCACACAAACACACACACACTGACAAACGCACAAACACACGCACACGCACACACGCTCACACTCGCACACGTGTGCACACACGCGCACACACATGCACACACGCACACACACGCACGTGGACACACACACGCCCCCACACGTGCACACACGCACACACACACGCACACACTGACACGCACGCGCACACGCACAAACACACACGCATACACACTCGCACACACACCGACAAACGCACACAGACGCACACGCGCACCCACACATACGCGCACACGCACACATCCACACATATGAACACACACACACACGCACACACACAAGCACGCACACACATGCACAAACTCAACCGCACACACACACACAGACGCATGCACACATGCACACACTCACGCATGCACACACAAACACACGCACCCAAACGCACACACACGCACTCACGCAGACGCAGACACACACACGCGCACGTATGCACAAACGGACACAGATGCAAACACACGCACACGAACACATGCGTACACGCACACACGCACACACGCAGACTCAAATACATACACACTGACACACATGCAGAAACGCACGTGCATACACGCACACCCGCACACTCACACACACGAAAACACACATGGGAAAACGCACACACGAAAACACGTACACACAAAACATGCAAGCACACGTGCGCACACACGCGTGCACACAGGCACACACACACACGCACGCACACACGCGCCGACACGCACACGCACGCACACACGCGCAGACACGCACACACACGCACAAACACGCAATCGCACAAAAACACACGCACACGCGCACGCCCACACGCACACACACACGCACTCACGCACACATAGAGGCACAAATTCAAACACACATGCATGTGCTCACACGCACACACGCACGCAAGCACGCACACACACGCACATTCACTCAAGCACACAAACACACACGGGAACACACACACGCACACACTCTCACATGCACGCACACACGCACACACAAACGTGGACGCACACACACGCGCTCAAAAACACGCCCACACACGCACCGCCCACATGCACGCACACTGACACACGCACACACGCACGCACACACTCGCACACACAGGCCTGCAGAAACACATGCACACACACGCGCGCACAAGCACACACACACGTGTGTGCGCACACACAAGCATGCATACAGACAAACACACACGCACACACGCAAACAGACACGCACACACATGCGCACACACACACACGCACACAGACACGAACACACCCGCGCACACTCACACCACCACACACGTGCACACAGATGTGCACACGCACTTGTGCACTCACCCGCACAAAAGGACACACACGCACACCCATACACACACACGCACACACACACTTGCACACACATGCACGCACACCCATACGCACACACATACTTGCACACACGCACGCACGCACACACACAAGGACTCACACGCCGCACACCCGCACAAACACACATGCGCACACATACTCACGGACACACAAACACGCACAAACACGCACACACGCACATTCACTCAAGCACACAAACACACACAGGAACACACACACACGCACACACACTCACACGCACGCACAGACGCACACACAAACATGGACGCACACACAGGCGCACACACACACGCGTGCACACTCACACACAAACACGCATGCACACATGCCCACACACGCACACGCCAACATGTGTGCACACTGACACACGCACACATGCACGCACACACTCGCACACACTCGCACACACAGGCACGCAGAAACACATGCACACACGTGCACAGGCACGCACACACACGCGTGTGCACACACACATGCCTACAACACATACGCAAACAGACACGCACACGCACGCACACACACACGCACACACAGACACGAACACCCCCACGCACACTCACACCACCAAACACGCGCACACAGAAGCACACACGCACTTGCACACACACACCCGCACACAAGGACACATACGCACACCCATACACACACGCACGCACACACACACTTGCACACATGCACACACACCCATACACACACAGACACGCACACACACATGCACACACACACGGACACACACGCCGCACAACCGCACATACACACACGCACGCAAACACACTCACGGACACACACACGCACACACACTTGCACACACGCACACACACGCATAAACACGCACAGGCATACACACACACGCTCGCACACAATACGCACACACACACGCACACATGCAACACACAAACACACACACGCATACACGCACATAGACACGCACACTCTTACACGCACACGCACACACACACGTGCACGCACACAAAGACACGCACTCGCACACCCCCCACACGTGCACACACACGCGCACACATGCACACACGCACAAACGGACAGGCACGCACGCACACAAACGCACACACATGCACGCAAACACACACACATACGTACACACGCACGTGCGCGCACACACACACGCATACACAATCGCACACACAGCAACAAATACACAAACGCGCGCACGCATAAACACATGCACAGACGCACACACATGCACACACACGCACACGCCCACACACACGCACATGCCCACACACACACACACACGCGCACGCATGCACAAACGGAAACAGACGCACACACGCACACCCACACATGCACACGCGCACACACACGCGCACACACACTTGCACACACTTGCACACACGCGCGCACACAAGAACAAACGCACAGACATGCACAAACGCATACACACACGCACACACACACACACACGAACACCTGCACACACATGCGCACACTGACAAACATGCAGAAACGCACGCGCACATCTGCACACCCGCACACTCACACGCACACAACGCGCACACACACGCACACACACTTGCACAAACACGCAGGCACGCACACACACGCACAGGCGCGCACACACGCACACACACACACGCACGCACAGACACTCACACACAAATACACACACGCACTGACACATACACTTGCACACACACGAACGCACACACACGCACGCACACATGCACGCACACACGCGCACACAGGCACGCACACACACGCACATGCACACGCACACACACGCACACGCACACACACATGCGCACACAAGAACAAACACGCACACACACGCACACACATGCACACGCACACACGAACACCCGCACACACATGCGCACGAACACGCACACACGCACACACACGCACACACGCGTACACAAGAAGAAACACACGCACACACGCACACACGCACACAGACACTTGTACGCACACACACACGCATGGACACACACACACGCATACACGCACAGATGCGCACACACGCCCACGTGCACAAACACGCCCCACGCACACACACACACTTGTACACGCACGCACACACACTCGTGCACACACACACACGCACAGAAACGCACACCCACATGCACACACATGCACACACACACACACACTTGCACAAACACGCAGGCACGCACACACACACGCAGACACGCACACACATGCACACTCACACACAAAACACACACGCACTGACACATACACTTGCACACACACGAACGCACACACATGCACACGCACACGCACACACACACACGTACACAAACACGCACACAGGCACACTCACACATATTGGAGGCTGTAGAAAACTCTCTTACACCCCCCAAAGCCACCTGAATCCCCTGAGTACCCTTCCAGGAAGCTCATGGCCTTGAGGAGCTTGGGAAAAAAGACTGATCCACTCCAAACTCCTCTGGTGAAGGAGGGCTTGGGGTCTCAGAGCTGGCCTGAGACAGGATAGGTCACCCAGCCAAACCACAGCCACAGCAGGGTTGGGCCCTCCAGGCCAGGCCCTCAAATCCCAAGTGGGACTCCTGAACTGAACTGTGAATGTCTCCTCACACTCACCCTTTTTCCTGGCCCTTGCCACTGAGGGGATTGCTATCATTAGCCAACTTCACATTTCAGGTGTTAAAATGTCCCTGCACTGACGTTAATGTGGACCCAGTCAGAACTGAGTTTTAGGAATGAGTAATCTGTGGTACTTCTGTCTTTGATTAATTTAGTGACATTTATTCCAGAAAAGAAGTTTAGATGCTTGAAACGTCGTTCCTTATTAATAAAAAATTTCCATTATGCTACAAAAAAACCCCTGTAATAATCAAAAGTGGGCTATGAACACAAAAATTTGAGGTCCACTTGTCTTGATTACACTATTCTGGAACCTAACAACAAAAACAAAATAGTAGCCATTTTAGAACCTGATGGTACCTGAGGCTGACTAGTCCACTGCCTCCTCATTTTGTAGATCAGGAAGTGGGCTAAGAGAAATGATTTTATGCAATGTCACCCAGGAAGTCCTCACCCAGGGCCCCATCCTGCCTCCTCTTAAGCAGTGTTAATAATGCTATTTTGGTGAAGGCTCTCAGCACTAGTTTGGGAATTTGTGAAGTACTCTGAAGTACTTCAGGATTTTCTAAATATCGATGATCTTAAAAATGTGTTCACCTTTTTTCTAATTTCACATGGAGTTGAAGCATTTATTTGAGGTGAGAATTCTAATCATATATACTGTGATTCATGAGGGGTTTTGGTTTAGGGCTTGTCAGTTGGTTTCTGCTGAGGTAGTATTTTCAAATCAATACATTACTTCCAGTGCCAGTAGAACACAGGGCTTTACCCATGTACTCTACCATCATGGGAAGTTTAAAAGATCCTAATGGATCAACAAATTCTGAGAAAAACAGAAATCATTAATAACTTTATGTGAAAACAGATCAGAAAATAAAGTCATGCTAGTAATTCAGAAGTGAGTACAGATCTATAAGACTAAATGGGCTAAAATTGCTTGTGCATGTCTCATTATGATGTACTTACTTCCAGCTTTTGAAATTAGCACTCTCATTTGTTAGTTTTTGAAACTCTTTGTTGGCATTTTGGGAGACATCAAAGCCAATGAGACAATTACAAACTCACTGGAACTAGGTCACATCAGTCAGTGAATGGTAGTGAGAAGCCTGGCCTGCTGCTGAATCTCAACAGTGTTGTACTGCCACACCAAACCTGAGGAAGGTGCTAGATGTGTTAAACTATAAACAAGGTCAGTCAGGATGCATTCAGGAAGTGCCTACTACATGCCCTAGCAATATGCTAGACA